CGGCAGGATGTTCTTAAAGGGCCGTCTGCCTTTGCCTCCGCCCGAGCACAGGGAAAGCTGGAACAGGCTGCTGCAGCGGGGGGAAGGTCAGGGGCAGGGGTGGGGAGCCGGCAGAGGAGAGCGGGCGTCTGGCCTGCAGGACGACGTAGCGCAGCCAGCTGTCATCCTGCCCCGGGACCGGCCCTGGAGCAAGATGATGCGTATGCTTGGACGGGGCGCAGCGGGGCTCCTGCTGCAGTCCCTGCCCCTTGGCAGCACCAGGGCGAGCAGCTGTAGGTGGTAGTCTGGCACGTTTGTCTGGTGCGGCGTGGCAGAGGTGACCACGTGCCTGGGCCTATGCGGCCTGCGGCAACGGGGACCCTTGGTCCATGGGCAGGCTGTGCGATGCTGCCCTGCCTCGCCGAGATGCCGGGGAGATCCTCTAGGGCAGTGGAGGGATGCCCTGCTTGTGCCCTTCGGGCACTGTCCTGCTCCCACGCTGCAGCTCGGAGCCCTTCTCCGTGCGGAGCCGCCCTGGACCACCCGGGAGAGCAGGGCTGTGCCCGGCGAACCCTTTGGCAGCTGTGGTCATGCTTGTCCCTCTGAGTGCAGCACAACCACTGCAAACAGGAGGGCTCTTCCCATCTCGGGTGCCCTGGGCCGTTAACATAGGGTCAGTGCTGGCTGACCCAGCCTCCGCTGGTGGGGACACTGCTCTGCGGCCTTCTGCCCCTCTCAGCGTGGCTGCGGCTCTGGCCCTGGTGCTGGGTCATTGTCCCAGTCGTGTGCAGGCAGGAGAGACTCTGGTCCAGCCGGGAAGCTGCTCAGTGAGGGCCCCAAGGGAGCCCCAGCCCCAGGGCGGGTGCCAGGATCCCGCTTCCTGCGCAGAGCTGAGATCAGCGGGGGGAGCCGGGGCCTTTGTCTGGCGCTGCGACTGTCTTGGAGCTGGTTTCTGGGGCTGTTATTGCCGGGCGTTGTCGTGTTGCCCTGGCAACCTGTGCGGAGCTGAGCTGCCTGTTGTCTTTGGGCCGGGGCAGGGGGCAGCCTGGTGGGCACTGGGCCTGCACCTGCAGCGCCCACACTGGAGCCTGGGAGCTGCTACTGCCTCAAGCAGCCCGGCTGGCTCCAGGCTCCCCCATCTCATCCCCTGCCCGCGCCATGCTGCTCCGTGGCCCAAGGAGGAGGTGTCATGGGTGAGGCTCTCAGCGCCCCTGTTGGGGCGGGGGTGACAGTGGGCACAGCTGGGCGCTGGCTCAGGTCAGGTGGGGCCTGGATGCGTGGACAGGTGGGGTGCTGCCGTGGCACGGTACAGGGCAGGACGGGCTCCCAGGTTGGAGCTGGGCCAGTGCCTGCTCCGGCCAAACACCGCCCTGCTCATTCTGTCCCTTCTCTGCTCCTCGCAGCGGCTGGCTCTGCTGGGCCTGTCTGCTGCAGAGACGCCAGCTCCAAGAGCTCTGTCCTGGCTGTGGGCAGCCTGCTCCCGCCTCCGACATTCCCAGGCTGGAAGGGAGAGGCCTCGCATGGTGCCGTAAGCGTGTTAGCAGACGGGGAGCGAGCGGGCTGCCAAACTGGAGGTGGTGCTGGAGCTGCGTGGTGTACCCGTTGACTCAGTGGCTCCAGGAGTGACTCATTGGGGCTGGAGGGTGGAGGCGGGGGTCCTAGAGAAGAGAGCTGCTTCCCTGGGCCAGTCAGCGCCCAGGCTTCCTGGCTGCTTGAGAGCAACCCCAGGTGCCCAGTGCTGCCACGTCCCTGCATCCAGCCCTCGGGAGGGCAACGGTGCGCAGGTGTCCCCACATCCAGGCCGGGTCTGCTCTCGGGAGTCCCTGAACCTGGGCTGCATCCTGCAGACGGTCGAGTGCAGCAGCCTGGCCTCCCACCCGCGAGGCACTGCCAACCTCATGGGGGCTCCCAGTGCCCAGGGCACAGGGTGGGTGGCTGCTCTGTGGGGAGACTGAGGCAGAAGGAGAGGGCGGATGTGCGTGGGGTGGCTGCTTTGCAGACTGGGCTGGGGCCAGGCCGAGGCTGCGGGGAGCCACAGGGTAGGTAGGCTGAGCAGCCAGGACCCCTGGCTCCAAGGCAAGGTGTGGAGCAGAGCAGCACTAGAGGGGCCCGCACGGCTCCCAGCCCCACATCCCAGCGCCCTGCACCTTCAAACATGAGGCGTCTACCAGCCAGCGCCTGGGCCAGGGTGCAGCTGGGCAGGGGCTGAGGGCTGGCAGAGCAGCCCCTGGCCAGGCCGGCAGGGTGGGGCAGCTTAGCTGTGCAGCACGGCCTGCTCGGAGGTGAAGCGAGTCTGGCTCACCTCACCCCTGCCTGGCAGGAAGAAAGGGCTTTTTGTTCGCTCGCTGGATTGTCTGGCCGGAAGGATTTCTGTGGGAGCGGGGCCCAGCCAGGGAGCAGCCTCCCGGGGGTGCTGGAGGCTCCGGCTCCAGCTCCAGCTCCGGCTCCTTCAGGGGACCGTTGCTGTTCGGTGGTAACGCGCCGACCTCTTGGCATTTGCTGCCTTCGCCTCTTCTCACGGCAGCGGGAACAAGTGGAGTGTTCTGCAGGCGGCTGCGCGAGAAGAAAGGCAGCCTTGTGGCGCCCGAGGTGGGGCTGGCCGGGTCGGGCTGTGCTCGCATTCCTCCCACAGAGGCCTCTTGTGAGGGGCGCCACTGCCTGTGCCCGGGACTGCCGCGGAGCAGCGCGGGGTGCCCGGACGCACCCGGCCAGCTGCTGTGGCGCTCCTTGCTGCCCTGGTGAGTCCCGGGAGGCGGCGGTGTCCAGAGCGGGCTGCGGGGCGAGGGGGTGGGTATTCGTGGAGCCGGGCCGGGGAGCAGTCCTACCCGCTGGAAAGTGGCAACAGCCCCAGCTGGGGACGTGGCATCTCCCTGGGCGGGAGGGGAGGGGTTGGGGCTCCTGCACTGCATTTGGGGAAAGGGGCTATGTGGTTAGAGCTGGGCCAGGGAGGCTGGATCCTGGACTCCTGGGTCCCATGCCTGGGGCCGAGGTCAGATGGGAGGGGCAGATTTGGGGTCCCCCCCCAGCGTGGTGAGAGGTGTCTGGTGGGAGCTGTGACCTTGGTCCCCGGTGCGTGTGCCCCACTGACATGCCTGGAACCGCCCTGCGCTCCTAGCTCTAAGTGGGCCCCTGCCGTGCAGCTACCGGGCCTGTGGTGTCGTGCCCAGTGGGTGGAAGGGGCCAGCCTGTGGCTTGCCCTACGCCATGACCCCGGGCCTGGAGCTGGGACCTGCTGTTAATCTTCAGATGGGATTCACCCCGCGCTGCTCCCATCCTCCTGAGCCAGCCTGTGTTCGTTGGGGGTGGGGGCAGTCCTGCATTTGGGCAGCAGGGGCCCAGATCAGCTCTCAGGCCAGCCCTGCCCTGTGCTGCTGCTCTTGCTGCCTGCCCCAGGCCCATGCAGCCCATGCGGGGAACAGGCCAGCCCCCAGCTGCAGCCAGGAGCCAGACTCCAGCAGAACCAGGCTTGCACACATCCCATCCCTGCGCCCAGCCCCGTGCTGCGGCTGCCATGCAGAAGTTGGGGTGTGGGGGCCAGCCGGGGAGTGTGGGATGTGGCATGCTGTGGAGGGGCTGAGCATGGTCTGCCCTTGCAGGTAGCTGCAGCAGCAGGTGCTCAGCCCAGGTCACGGCAGGCTCTTGCTCCCTGTGGCATCCACAGGCAGCACAGAAAGTCAGCCCAGAAAGACATGGCCCAGCTCCTTGGTTGCCAGTGCCTGCTGCAGTGGGTGGGGCGGGTGTGTTGTTTCCCACCCTGTCGTGTCATCCTTTCCCCTTCTCTGCCATTGCTGCAGCTCCGAGCACTCCCCAGCCAGGCTGTGCCATCACCTGTTAGCAGATGAGGCCTGTGGGGCAGTGCCCACCGTGCAGAGGCCTGCCAGGGTGGGGAGTGAGGCTGCCTCCTCTAGGCAAGGGTGCTGTGCAGGCTTGGCTTTTCCTGGCCCCAGCCAAGCCTTGCCCTGGGGTCCAGCTGCCTGGTAAAGGGCTCCCTCCACCCAGGGCAGTGCCAGCTGCTCCCAGGAGAGGGGTGGAAGGAGCTCCTGGCACTGGGCACGGGCACTGACCGGGCAGGGGCGCGGGGCGGTACCGGGGGGAGTGGGATGGGCAGTAGCAGCGAGTGCATTGGCGGGGCTGGAGCTGCCCAGCGCAGGAGGGGCCCTTTCCTCGAGCTGCTCTATTTGTAGTTGCAGAGAAAGGGAGCAGTGTCCGTGCTGCCTGCAGGGAGGCAGCGCAGGGGGAGCCAGAGTGGGCCTGGGCCAAACAGCTGCTGCTTTGTGTGCACACGTGTCTGTCGGCGGGGGCCTGTGCCTGCGTGTCCCATGCGTGAGCTGGGAGGGGGCTTGCAGGTGTGCGGGGTGGGGGCAGGGCCGGCACTGCAGGCTGTGTGCGCACTCCAGGGCGGCACGTGAGCGCAGCGGGGGCTGCGCCTGGCCGCTGGGCTCTGTGCTGCACTGCCAGGGCACGCGATGCAGCGGTGCAGGGCTGCCGGGCCTGCTGGGCCGCACCCTGGTGACAGGGCAGGAGCACGTCTGCAGGACAGGGGAGAGGGGTTTTGGGAGCCTGGCATCTAGCGCCCAGGACTGCGTGCCTTGTAGGTACCCCCTCCACCACCGTTCCCTCCCCAGAAGTGCACCCTGCTGCCTGGGGAGGTGGCAGAGTCTGCTCTGAAGCATGGGGAAGGGCTCCGTGGGGGCGGGCGGGCAGGCAGCATGACCTGAGACAAGCTCCCAGGAGGAGGGGGTGGCAACAGGCTCTGTTTCCCCCGTCCTCCTGTCCATAGACCTTGGAGATGAGTGCACATAGTAATGGACCTCACCACCCCTTGGACAGGGCTGACCCATTGTTCAGATGGAGAAACTGAGGCATGGAGCAGAGCCTGGCCTTGCTCACCGTGTCATGGCGAGTCAGTGGGTCTTGTTCTCCTGGGCTGCGATCCCTGGCACTGGTTGGGGCTGTCTGGAGCGGTGAGGCCTGTGCTCCCCCAGGCCAGGCTGTCTGGTTGCTCCTGGGCAGGGCGGGTGCATCTGCGGTGCAGCCCCATGCAATGCCGGCTTGGTTCCCCTGTGGGTGTCTGGGCCGGGGGGTCCTCCAGGGCTGACGTGCTCCTTGTCTCTTGCAGGAGAGCTGAGGCCAGAGGGGCCGGACACCTGGCCGCAGGAGCCATGGACGCTTCACACAGGAGTGTGGCCAGCCCGACCCGCAAAGTCCAGACTATCATCCAGGTAAGCGCGTGCTGGGCAGGAGCCCCAGACATCCCAGCAGGAGAGGAAGGGGGCAGCCCACGTGCCAGGAGATGCACATTACTTTGCCCAGACCTGGCCCTGTCTCTGCTGTGGCCTGAGCCCCAGCTCCAGGCAGAGTTTGGGGGCTGGGACGGGGGTTGGCTTCCAGATCACTGGGGCTGGGCAGTCTCTCGAAGAGGGGGCCTGGGAGCAGCTTGCAACCACGCGAGAGGCTGTTACAGGTCCCAGCTGGGCCCCAGTCCCCAGCCTCGGTGTCATGAGAAGACAGTGTCACGTCCTGCCCAGGCCGTGGGCGCAGGCAGCGTGGCACCCCAGGGCCTCCCCTCCCAATCCTATAAGGAGATTGCTGCAAATCCAATTGTCGACCTGGCTAGTACCTTGGATCCTATTAAATGGAGCCCGTGCCTGGCAAATCCTCTCTGCCTGTCTCTGTGGCCCGAGGAGGCCTGGGGGCAGCCTCCATCCCAATTGCTGCCTGGGGACAGGAGCTGGCACAGTGCCATACGGGCAGCTCATTTTGCTGCCTGTTGGCAGGAGGCCTCTCTGCCTGCTCCCGTGGCCCAGGGTGGGCAGCTCTGACGCAATGCTGTGCTTGTCCCTACAGAACAGCCCCCTGGACCTGATCGACATGGGCAAGGGGGTAAAGGTGCAGACAGAGAAGCCTCACTTGGTGAGCCTGGGCAGTGGGCGGCTTAGCACAGCCATCACGCTCCTGCCCCTGGAGGAAGGTGAGTGCCTGCTGACCGAGGGCTGGGCCGGCACAGCTTCCCTGAGGCCAGGCCCTCTGTTTGGCTGCTGGAACAGAGCGGAGCCCCCAGCTCCATCTACCCGCAGGGCTGGGTCCCGCTGTTGGGACTTGCCTTGTGCCCATGGCCCGGGCTCTGGAAGAGCCTCGACCCCCAGCGCGCACTGCCTTGCTCCCAGCGGCTCTGGTGGCCAGCACCTGGCGAGCAGGGCCTGGGGACCCCTTCTCCCTGCCCAGGGTCCGGGACCCGCTCCTGCCCCGCGCAGCCCTCCAAGTGCTCCCGCTTCAGCAGGCCCCTGCTGCATTGGCAAGAAGGCCTGGTGGTGACGGGGCCTCAGCTTGGAAATCAGATTAAACACGGAGAGGGAGCCAAGTCCCCCTTGGACACGTTGCCTGTAGCAACTGGCCATGCCCCTGGCTAGCAGGGGAGCTGGGGGCCTGGTCTCTGCAGGGGAAAGCATAAAGCTCCCTCACCAGCCCACACCCCGGGCTGGCCCCCCTTGCATGCCCTGGGAGCACGGCAAAGCTGTGCGGGCCTGGCTTGCAGGGTGAGGACCTGAGGCGATGGGTGCATGGAGCCGGGCTGGAGTCCAGCAGCACCAGGGTGGAAGAGCTTGGAGGAGACCTGACCTGCCACGGACCCTCCCTGCAGCTGTGGCTGCCTGGCTTGGAGCACTGAGCGGCTGCCTGTCGTTGCAGGGAGGACGGTGATCGGCTCGGCAGCGAGGGATATTGTCCTGCAGGGGCCGGGCCTGGCGCCCGAGCACTGCTTCATTGAGAACCTGCGTGGGACCCTCACGCTGCACCCCTGCGGGCATGCCTGCGCCATCGACGGTGTGTCAGTGCGGCGGCCCACACACCTCACCCAAGGTGAGACCTCCGGGGCTGCCTCTGCCACTTTGACTCAGGGGTAGTGCCCACGGGGAGCGCGCCCCTGGCTGGGCAGGGTGGGGGCAGACATGGGGCCACCTCAGTGGTGCAGGTGGAGCGAGGGGCTCGCAGCCTGGCTGCCCGCCCTGCAGGGCTTGGCCAGGGGGAGGAGAGCTCAGGCACAGGGAGCCCTGCTGCAGGGAGGTTGCTCCAGTGGTCACGATGATCTCCAACCTCTGTCACGCCCTGGCCAGGCCTGGGCTGGTCCCCACTTTTGCCGCTATGCCCAAGGGCAGAGGCTGGCAGCAGTGCTGAGCACATGTGAGCTCAGCCTTCCTGGGGCCGTGGGGAGGCTGTGGCACGCAGAGCAACCAGACCCGCCGGGGCTCCTGGCACCCTCGGGCCAGGCAGGCGGGGCAGCACCTGGGGCCTGCAGAGCGTGGCGATGGCGAGGGGTGTAGGTTGTAGCAAGGAGCGCAGACCCGGCGCCCTGCTCGGCAGAGAGGTGGTGCTGTTGGATCGCGGAGGGGCAGCGCGGGGCCGCTGGGCGTGGTTGGGAGGCTGGAACAATGGCTCCGTTTGTCCCAAGCAGGAAGGGGAATTTAGGGCCGATCGTTTTCGCAGCTCCAAGCAGCAGCAGCCCCCCATGCCTCCTTTGTCATTGTTCTGCCTCCCTCTGGAGTGCCTGGGCCGCGCAGTGACCCAGGCTCCAGCCTGTCCCTGCCTGGTCCTGCAGTGTCCCTGGCCCAGCTCCGGGCTGCTGTTGTCACTAGGGAGCTGGACTAGACAGCCCGTGCCCCGCCAAGCTGAGCTGGAGGGGATGCCCTGTCTGCTCTGCACGTTCCCCACCGTGTGCTCCTGTCCGGCCAGCGCCGCCCCACTCAGCACAGCTGGCCAGGCTCCTAATCCCCAGTCAATGGCAAGGGGACATAATTCGCCTGCCAGCAGCGCGCAGGGGCATAAGCTCCTTTGTGATACGGCCTTGCCGCCAGGGGAGGAGAGGGGTTCAGCTGCCCCCACCCACCCTGCTCTCCTGGAGGAAAGCAGCCCATGCTCTATCCAGCTGGCCAGGGGCCTGGCACCTGCTGACCACGGTTCCTCTCACCGGGGGGATGGACATAGCAGTGCAGGGTGCCGGGAGCTTGGCGTTCTCTTGCGGGCGTACTGGGGAGGGCCCTTATAGGGCCCTTAGACCCTGGCAGCGGTGCCAGTGCCACTGGCATTGGGCATGCTGGGGTGGGAGGGGACTGGGAGTTGGGACGCCGAGGTCCCTCCATCTCTGGCTCTGCTGCGGCACCTCTCCAGGCTCAGCTGGTGGTCGTGAGCCCAGCTCCGAGGCGGGCAGTGCAAGGCTAGTGGGGGAGTGCCACTCGGACTTCTCACCATCCTGCCCCTTGGGGTTCTAGAGGGGAGAGGCTGTAGGGCAGGATGAAGGGTCTTCCAGGGCCTTCTCCTGAGCACGCTGCCCTGGATACAGTCTTCTGGCAAGAGGTGCTAATGGCCCTCATCACTTGCTTATGACGACAGCTCATCCTCTGCCCGGAACTGGACAGTGGAGAGATGAGGCTGAGGGCAGGGGCATGGGGGCAGAGACACCTCATGCTGTCTGCTGGTGGGAGCGCGGTGAGGGCTCGCTCGGACCCCAGCACCTGTTACGGGAAGGACCTTCCCTGGGCGGAGCGCGTTGCCAGCTGGCTGCAGTGTCCTGCGCTGGACTGGGAGCCCAGGCTAGGACGGGACAGCGCAGCGGGCTCTGCCCCACTCCACGGTTTACTGCAGGACGGGCCATCGGGGCATGGAAACAGCACGGCCGAGTCTGCTCCCAGCTGCGTAGCCCACAGCCATGGCACCCTCCCACCACTTGCCCACGTGTAGGTGGGGACGACGAGGGGTTGGGGGCCTAGCCCGGGCAGCTGCTGGCAATGCCCCCTCTGCGGCACGGGGGTGGACTCTGTGTGCTGCAGCTTGCCCTACTGCAGGACGGGCCATCGGGGCATGGAAACAGCACGGCCGAGTCTGCTCCCAGCTGCGTAGCCCACAGCCATGGCACCCTCCCACCACTTGCCCACGTGTAGGTGGGGACGACGAGGGGTTGGGGGCCTAGCCCGGGCAGCTGCTGGCAATGCCCCCTCTGCGGCACGGGGGTGGACTCTGTGTGCTGCAGCTTGCCCCTCAGGCCCACGCTGGAGTCCTTCCCCGGGGCTGGCGCAGCCGCAGCT